TATGGGGACCGCGGTAGCCGTGGTTAGCATAAGAGATTCTCACGCCGCGGTCGTGGGTTCGATTCCCACTGTCGCCTCTGGCCCTTTTTTCCCGATAGCCCCCAATTTGAACAATATATATAAGAATTCGTCATGGCTAATATGCAAAGATCATAAGGCAAAAAAAAAATTTAATATATGTACATATATTAAAATAAAATACAAAAATAAGACGAAATGACTGTTTACCCCTTTTGTCTGTATTTATTTTAATTAAAAATACACGCAAGGCTATGACAACGTCATTCAGTTATGTTGATATAAATATTTCTTTTAAAAAGTATTAATGTGAAATAATTTTTGATTCGTTTCTCCTTCTCATTTACACATATGTCTTAAAAATCTAGCGGGCAAAAACGTAAAAATCTACTTGCAAGACCACTTTTGGACGATTTACGCAACAAATTAAATCTCTGTCAGGGGGTGGTCGTTTAATTTCCATGTTTTGCATACGCGTTTACATTACACCCACTTTCTGCTGTCGCTGCCTGCAATTACATATTATTCGCTTTTCCTTTTTTAATTTTAGTTTTAATTTTCTTTTTATCATTGTACACTGCGGTTTCTATTAAAGACTAATCTGAATGGAAATTTGAGCATGGATTTTTATATTTTAGTTTTGACTACGATCAGATAGATTACATTTGTAAAAAGTATATTATCACAGCTTGATAATATTATTGTTATTTTTCTTCAATAGGTTTTTATTAAAATATTTTTATGAAAGTGCACTTTTGGTTGTCTCTCTCTTTGGAAAAGAGTGGGTAATAAAAGAAAAAATATATTACATTCGATTATTATAAAAGTTTAGGTGAATAACTTAATTTTTATTTTTGTGTGGTGTTTAGTGACCGTTAGTTAATGATTATTTGGAGATCGTGAGATGCGGTCTGGTGGGACGTAGGTTTAAAAAAACCCTTTGGGCACTCTCAGTGTATAAAGTGAAATACAATGCAAAATATATATTTTTTATATTCAATCAAAGTATTTCTACTTACTCAAAGTGTTTGTCTTCTGTGTAATTGTGCCATTCTTGCGTGTCGTGTTGAGAGTGCCAGTGTGATATTGCTGTTTTACGTTTATATACGCTGGATTTTGAAGCGTTGGGAAAGGAATGTAATTGTATAAACTCACTTTTTTCCACATCCTACATGTATTTGTTAAATTTAAACAATGTCTGTAAATCCCGGGCCCTGAAGATGATCTCAATAAAGATCGAAACGTTGGCACGATAAAGAAAATATTTTTCTGAAACCTACATCATACCAGATCGCCCGGTCTCTTCTTCTTCTTGGAAACTCAGCACAATTTTTCTTGTACCAGAATCCGGTACATATCCCTTCGTAAACGAAAGAGACCAGTCAGGAGATTACCAAAATTCTAGTATTATTTCGGTAGCCAACCGGTTGTAGTGTTAGATTTGCATCTGATCTACCTATGAATCTCCTTGTGAGTCTCATCCCTGGAGTGTTGATCCAATATAAGTATCCATTTTTTGAAGTGTCATTTTATGTGGCAAATTGTTAGGCCACTGTAGGGTTCGGAACAGGAAGTATACATACTGACTTCACTTTTCCCAGTAAAGCGGCTTGTACATCACGCCTATGTCTTCAGCGCCTGAGAACTAAGGTGAGGGTCAGGAAATTATTATCACTGTCGCATGCCAAAGAAAACATGTAACTTCAGACACCTTTTGTCTTCACCTCACGTGAGGTTAAAATTTTGAAATGACTGTAAGCTATTATGGCTTTTCGGTTTTTGGGGCGTCAGTCTACCAGAAAGCCTAGGCACAAAGGGAAGTCTTTTGGTCCAGTCTTGCATTCTGCTATAATTATTATTTATTTTAAAGCCATCACTAGGCATACTAAGTATAGCGTAAGATACTTACACCACCATCAGCATTAGAAGTTCATTAACCGCCTTATAAATACCTTCTGGTAGATTAAATCCTGAGCCATTATAATTCCAAGCCAACAACTCGGAAATATCGGGTAAGTTTAATCTCAAAACCTCTTAGAAGAAGGAAGAATAAGACAAACGTCTAGTCTTAAATTGGGATATATGGGCAGCGGGACTTGTTGGCATTTAAGACCGAATATAATGACAGAGGCAACGACGTCAATTTGGACTTTTATTTTGCCATTATGAAAATATTTGTTGACAAAACTGTAACTCGTCTTTACAACACCCTTTAAGAAGTGAGGAGATGTACAAACTCGGAATAAGAATAGAACGGGCAAACGTTTAATAAAAATATGAGCAAAGTTTTAGAACGGATTGGTAAACGGAAGAAGCAGATTAGCAACAGCCGGGAATCTTGAGGGAAATAATTGAAAATCATTCTTTCCAAACTAATTGTTTTTAAATAATACTGTACGTTTGAAACTTATCATGAAAATAACTATATTTTATATAACATTCAAATGTTGTCAAGAAATATATTTATAAATATGTCGTTATTAGTTTCAGACTTCTAATGTTACAAAACATGCAATACGAACATCTATATAACCCAAAAATAATATAATTGACAATAATTTAGCAGACTAAGATCAGTTGACTAAGATAGCTGAACTAAAACTAACAGACTAAAGATAACACTAGATTTCTTGTCGCTTATGTCTAGTATAGGGATTTGAGGTCAGTCTGAGAGTCCTAATTTTTCGGGTAAAGGCTCCTTAAGATGGCCCTTGCTTTTGAGCATTTTTGTATGTGGAAACTAAAATAAAGGCTTCAATCCAGATACATTTCAAGGTTTTTAACATTCTTAGCGCATATTAATTATTTATTTTGACATGATTGACAGTGACTGGTGAATAAACAGTATCTTGCTTCTATTAGGTCTGATTCTCCCCATTTTTCAAAATATTTACAACTGGTATTCTCTGTAGATAGAATTTTACCCTTATAGGAGCTCTTATAAAGGCCGTATTATCAGGACAGGCAGTTCGGCTGTAGATTTTAGCTTGCAAAGTCATTTATAAAAATTACAATTAATTAAGGTTTTTAGTTGAGATAAAAAAGTCAATGGATTCGAACCCACGATCTTCGGCTAGATACGCCGCTGCTCTACCACTTGAGCTATCGTGACCTCGATCCACTCTGACATTAACTTCCCATCTCAACCCAACCTGTTGAATTTTTCCTCCTTTTTGCCATTTTTCAAATGTCGTGTAATCGGATTGGATTCTCGGCGACAAATGAAATGGCCACGGAGAGCTTTAGTGAAGTATACTTCATTTTAAATCATTAAATTCACTAATTTCGTGGTCCGCTTGACCAATTAATATATTTCAATTAATTAAGGTTTTTAGTTGAGATAAAAAAGTAAATGGAACGAGCGGGATTCGAACCCACGATTTTCGGCTTGATACGCCGCTGCTCTCCCACTTGAGCTATCGTGACCTCGATCCACTCGGACACTAACTTCCCATCTCAACCCCACCTTTTGATTTTTCCCCTTTTTTTACCATTTTTCAAAATCGGCGGCTCGAATCCCGCACGTGACGCTGACTTTTTTATGTCAACCAATACCTCACTTAAATATTAATTAATTAAAAAGAATTTATTTGGTCAATCGGACCACGAAACCTAATCGATCCCTAAGAAAGTTATAATGGAAAGAAAAGATTCATTAAGAAATGTTTGTGTGATTTTATTAACCCTGTGCTTAACAAATAGTTGTAAACATTTCTCGGAATAAAAAGTTTTATAATATTATTATTACATGTTTTCCCTCCTTTTTGCCATTTTTCAAATGTCATGTAATCGGATTGGATTCTCGACGACAAATGAAATGGCCACGGAGAGCTTTAGTGAAGTGTACTTCATTTTTAATCATTAAATTCACTAATTTCGTGGTCCGCTTGAACAATTAATATATTACAATTAATTAAGATTTTTAGTTGAGATAAAAAGTCAATGGCACGAGCGGGACAAAAAGGAGGGAAAATTCAAAAGGTGGGGTTGAGATGGGAAGTTAGTGTTCGTGTGGATCGAGGTCACGATAGCTCAAGTGGTAGAGCAGCGGCGTATCAAGCCGAAGATCGTGGGTTCGAATCCCGCTCGTGCCATTGACTGTTTTATCTCAACTAAAAACCTTAATTAATTGTAATATATTAATTGGTCAAGCGGACCACGAAATTAGTGAATTTAATGATTTATAAAAATGTTAAATAAGTTTGGTACGAGAACAGACCCTTGGGGACCCCAGCTTTTATACTGCTCAATTGTGACCTTATGCTATCAACCTGTGCAAAGAATTTCCTGTTGGTTACATTAAGTATTAGTCATTAAGAAATTGTTATGAGTTTAAATATGAGACCTTTGTGCCAAACCGAGCCGTACGCTTTCTCCAAGTTAGTAACTTCACCACATGCTATTTACATTAAAATCATGAATAATCATACCTACCACTCTGGCCAGCTTTATAGAAGTAGAATACAATGCCTGAAGCCAAATTGGCAAGGAATCAATGTTATTTTCATTTATTGAAAAACGTGCCTAATACTTTCCACTTCCAGTATAATTTCCTCTACAATTTTGGAGAGGGTAGTAAAGAGTGATATTGGGCGATAGTTACGAGGCAGAGTGTGGTCTTTTTACGTTTAAGAATAGCGATGACTTTTGCGATTTTCCAGGAAGATGATCACAATTTATGATTTTCAAACAACTGAATAGCCATTGTTAATTGATTAACATTGTTAATCATAAAAAATCAGATGGTTTAAATAGTTGATTCTTTTTAGACAATTGCCACAATTAACATTATTTTGTTAAATTAACTAATAATAAAAAACATGTTCAAAACAAAGAATTACGAAAGAATGAAAATCACTGATTAGTAAAACAAATTTATTAATTTTCAAATTCATACAACCAAAGCCCGTCATGCCATCTGAGACAGAAGATCTGCGTCGTTTGTTCGTCTTTTATTTCCCGACTTCGATTATTATTTAGTGTTACTTATAGCGGAGAAATTTAGCCTGAGAAGATGGCCTTTTTGTAAAGTTAATCGGTATTGAAGATTCTATTTCGGGAGATTGTGTTTCGCTTATGAACTTTTTAGTGGTACTGGTTGTAGTTTTCCTTTTCCCTTCAGGAGGGCACGGCGTGTAACCGGGGAATTCTCTCCTAATGTCCTGCAAGTTGCAGGGAGCCACCTTTCCTCGAAATTTGGGCGGCCTTTTTGGAGCCTTCTCCATAAGCTTGAGAACCGGTACCGGAGGTTCCGGGATCGGCTCCGGCGAAGGAGAAGGACTCCTGATTTTCTGAATCGGTATATCCTTGTAATTACAACAAGGCGGAGGTGGCGTTTCCAAAACCGATATCGTGCTGCTCGACTCGCGGAAATCCTTCGTCTTCGGAGAGCTGAGGCTTATACATCCCTCAGGGAATTCCAGCGGCGACTGAACGGTCAGATGTTTGTATTTCCAGAATTCTGAATATGGCTCGTCTATAAACTCATACGGACGATATTTAGCGGGTATATCGTACAAATCTTCGCTGTAGTACTTCACGACGCAAGGTTTGATCGTTCTGTATTTAGGGGGCTTTTTCTTCTTACGCTTTTTCTTGGGCGGACGACGAGGACGACGTCGACGTTTCTTCCTCGGATTCGGATTGTGAGGTGGCCACATCAATCTCCAAATAGAGACGGTCGGCGGAGGTATTGCCAGCTCATCAGGAGGCCCTGGCCTGGGCCTGAAGTCTGGAGTTTGCGGTGCGCTGAGGCTCACGCACCCGATCGGTGGCCATTCTTTTTCTTCGTTTTCTGAGTTATACGACTCCGGTGATGTTTCTTTCGTTATTTCTTCATAAGAATCCGATGATCGTCTAAACTGAAGCATGTCTTTGAGGCTTCTTCTCTCCGACTGTGCGCTCTCCTTTTTTTCTTTTGGTGGTGCGTTTTCTCTGGCTTTTTTTTTCTTTTTGCGGGCCTTTAATCTTTGATCGTATTTCGAAATGTCAGTTTTATCATCATCGCTATAATTCTTGCATATTCCACAGCAAAACATGACGACTACATCTTTTACTAGGTTTATGAGCTAAATCAAAAGGAACAAGCAGGAAGATTCATCTACCTAATGTCAAGATCTTCCACATAAGCAGAGGGCTTTTTTTATACACACCATTAAAAAAACCGCCATTTATTTTGAATTTGCAGCATAGTTCATTTTTTTGTTATTTTTTTTGTCAGTACATTTACATATGTATCTATAAACACATATCTATGAAAATTATAAATCTAAAAATAATCTGTTTAAGTGTTTAAATCGTGTGTAGTTTTAGCGTAGTGTCGTTTTTAGTCGTAATGTTAGTCTCATCTAATAATTTGAAATGTAGTTTATGTTATAAAATTGAAAAAATAACAAACAGCGATTATTTTCACATATTTCAAAAACACGAAGCATTTGTTTTGTTTTTTCATGCAAGAGTTGTATCATTGGTCTTAAAATGTCTTTTGTCACTTTTGTCTCAAAATCAATTTAAATTTAAAAAAAACTTTATTTAGAGACAAAAAAGCACCCAAAATCTGGCAAAAGTAGTAAAATACGGTGGGTAAAGCAATATCACTGTGTAGTGTGGTTGTTGCCCGACTATCTCTCACAGACATCGTACAGACACATTAAAGATGGCGAAATGCCGAAACTCATCTCGCAGACCGACCCAGTGACTATAAGAAAATCTCAAAATTTAGTGGTGTGGCAGAAAAATTTATGGAAGTCCATATTTCCATTATACTTGGGATTAACAACATCGAATGTGATAGAAAGCATCTTAATGTGGCGTCATAAAAAATCGAAAATCAAAACAAACCGAGCATTTGAGTTGATGTTGGCTGTTGGTCTACGAGTCGGTAAACTCAAGGTGATGGCCCTCAGTCACATATTGGGTCCGTTTTCACTCATGGCTTTTTGAACTACTCAAACGCGTTTCTTCTATCAGACAGTTGATCACTGAAGATGGCTAAGATAAAATCCGTTTGAGTAATTCAATAAACCCTGACCCAATAAGTGACCCAGTGTCGCTTAATCACGACTGCAGCATGCTATACAAATATGTTGTTCTTATTACAAGTATTCCGTATAAATTTCTTTATTTTATATTGAGTCATTCCTAAATATGAGTCTCCAAGTATCGGACCAGCACCATATCAACTTTGGTATGCAACTGGTTTCAACGTCTTCGATTCAAGTCCAAAACCCGCAGTTTAAGAACCAGGGCGTGTGGGGTTAGTCAAAACAAAGAATAAGTTCGACACCCAAAAATCTCTTGTTATCCACAATGTCCAATTGGACACCCCGAAGATTAAAGCTACGATTTCTTGTCTTGCTGAAGATTACACATGATGTTAGCAAACCAATGGTTTACTCTATCAAATATTACATTAGTTCCACATAAAGCAGCGTGGAAAATAAGTTAGAACCACATAGTTGGAGTGCTAAACATGAAGAAGCAATCGGGGGACCCTAAGATAGGAGCTCAAGTCAACATAACCAGAAATAATAGTGTGCCTAGTATGCTCCTTTGATGTACTACCATATTTATCATTTTTTAAGGTATTTAATAACCATTGTAAATTTCCCTTGAGAGAGGAACAATACCACTTGATACACCTTACACTATACAACTTTAATTTACTTATAAGCCGGCCCTCTGCTTGTACTTCTTTTCCTGGTGCTTTACGAGAATTTGCCAACCTTCTTTGTTCCAACCATTTGAGCGTCTTGATATGTTACTGACTCTGCTTTTGTATGAAAACGAAGTCGATATCCTAAACTCTGCTTTTGTACCTCATGTTGTCAACAGCAGAATAGATATAAAGCGTTTGATGCAATGTATTATTTTTCTCCTACACTAGAGAAGAACGATGCACTTTTGAATGTTAGATTCCTTGTTATTACAGTTTGTTTTTTCAATATTTTTTCGATCAGTTTTACTGTTAAATGAGACATGTTTCTGCCAGATTTTGTGTATCCGTGCGTTTAAGTGATTATCTGCTCTGAATAAAGCACCTCCTCTAGTTGCCAGTTAGTTGATGTTTGCCCTTTTCCGCCCCAAAGCTTCCAGTGCTGGGTCCCAACTAATTTATTTTGGACAACTCGAACAATTCCTTTCGATGAGCTAGTCGTTTAGTTCCAATAGAACGTGGAAGAATTTTTCATTTGATTATCTAGCTTTGTGATGTGTCGTGCTGGAAGTTTTTGTAAAAAGCTACAATGAGGTAAAGGAATAAGATTTTCAATTTTTCACTTAATCTGTCGATAGGAAGCAGATCTGCGGCCTTTCTATACTTTCCAATAGTGTAGGCCAACATTAATACAATGCCGTACATTCTAACTATGAAAAAAGCATTACATTGAATAGTTATTTAGTTGGACAAGAACATTTTGAGAACATAAATTGTTCATATTGCAAAAAAAGCAATGAGTTTAATTGAAATTTTTAAGTTTTTTAAAAGGTTTACTCGCTGAAAAAGTCAAAAGAGTGAGGAATGAGAGTGTCACACGGTCGAAACAAGGGCTGACAGACTGAAGGGGTCGTTTTTCAGAAAAACATTAACTTCCCAGTCGAATAGGACAAAGAGTTAATTTATGACTGCAACAACAAACGTGAAAACTATTACACGAAAATATACCCGTTGAAAAACTAAATTAATTTTAAAACGGAAAATATTGTGAATGCTGCTTTACTCTATCACGAACTGAGGAATTAAGTTACTCGGGTTTCCCTTATACAGTGTCATTCAAGCACTCGAGACCTTTCTTCTGTTCGCAGTCCCATTTTACTTATCCAGAACATTCTACCGCATCTTAAAGCCTCAAATTATTCAGTTAACGACAGAAACATAAACTGGGATCTTTTTAAACAACTAATTGAGGGAAAAATTGGCGTACAAATATCACTGAAAACAGAAGACGTACTAGCTGAAGGCAATAAATTCATCTCAACCCTCCAAGAAATGTTGTGGACATCAACACGACCAATAACACCAAATAAACATTTAAATTGACTCATTCTACCGACACCCCTTTGAGTACTATTAGCAGGCAAACACTGTGTCTCACTCCATACTATTTGACCAAGCATACCGAGCTATACATACGCTTTTAGACGAACCTTTACCCTCTTCTCCTCTGTAATGTATCACTTCAAAAAACAAACCTGTTATATTCACAAAAGGAGAAACTAGGAAAAGCTCATTTAGGCTCCAAAATCAGATTGGATGAGAACTAAACAATTCGGGCACACAGCCACAATTAACAAAATCAGACACCCATTCTTAGAAATAGGGACTGACTACATGATCCCGGAAGCATTCTTTACAACATCATAAAATCTCAACAGACTATAAAGGAGAAGAAGAACTTAGGAGAGCACCATACACAATGATATGGTATACAGATGGCTCCAAAACAATCGAAGGAACCGGATCGGGTGTTTTCTGTACAAGCCCAAAATATGAGTAATCAAACTCATTAGGAAATTACACGTCGGCCTTTCAAACAGAAATACACACAGAAAATCTTAAAAGAGATTACACCGGCAAAAAATCATAAGATCTGATAGCCAAGCAGCTACAAAAATATTAGCGGGTAAAAAAAATCACATAAAAATTAGTGAATGCATCCAAAATCTCCAAACCTGGGGAAACTCACCTGATGATATCTTGGATGCCAGGGCACAAAGGAATTTTGGGTAACGTAAAAGCAGACACACTGGCCAAAGGAGAATCTGCAAGACCATGCATAGGTCCCGAACTTATACTTGGGACAACAAAAACATCACCGAATGGTCCAAATAAAACAAAAGGAGAATTGGATAAACTCTAGCGGCGCTAGACACATTAAACTTACGCTAAAACAACCCTGACCAAGACTGGTAAGCTCACTGCTGCAGTTCGAAAGAGCCAGACTCAGAGGAGTGAGAACTATTAACTGGTCACTGGCATCTGAGAAAATATCTACATAACATGGACATATATAATGATGATCCCATCTGCATATTATGTATTGAGGAGGAAGAAACAGCCACCCATATAATCTTCGAATGCGAAGTAACGGCGCAATGGCGACATAACTTAGCATGCAGAAATAATCGAGAGAATGAAATTGTAGCAACAACAGTCAATGACCTTATACAAATATTCAATACTTCTGATAAGAAGGGTTGAGGCGATTGTAATGAACTAGGGTACAAGGAAGGTACAGAAAACAAGAAGGCTGCAGTGCCTGGGGAGCACAAACCCCGCTTCCTAGTGTCATCATCATCTGGATCCCGATATTTCTCTACTCGTTTGTAGGCATTTTTGCGTGACACAATGAACTTTAGATATATCATTATTACAAATTATTGACAGCATTTAAATAATCTTAGAATGTTACACAATTAGTTCATAGCTTTGGCTTATGTTGAACCAGCACCGGGTTGCTTCCTGGGTCCGTCTGCATTCTCAGGTCACTCAAACACGTCCGGCATTGCGCCATTTTCAGCAAAAAACTGAACCTACTAACAACTATAACCTAGGCTGTTTGTAGGACACCCCCATAAAGTTGTTGGGCACCGAAAGTTGCAAGCCTCCTCCGTCTTAAAGAATTAAACAGCTGTAAACTTGTAATTTTGTACTCAAAGTTTTTCCCTCAACAGTGAAACCTATTTAAAAAAATAGTGTTTTTGAACACAAAATTTTGCTAAAGAAATTCGGGAGAGACTCTTGTAGTTGAATTTTACAAAAACATTGGACTTGTTTTAACAGTAAATTGTAAAATAGATAAGTAATAATGACATCAGCAAAGATGCAGTTAGGTCTAGTATAACGAATAATCCATGTCTATAATCAAGAAAACCATCAGTAAAACGTGAGTTCATTGATAATAAAAATTGAATCTGGCGTGCGCCGTGTATAACGGGGGTTCGCCCATTCCATGGGCACACCCGCGGCAGTGCACCGTGTACACGGCGGAACTCTATGCGATCTGGCACGCACTCGGGGTGATTCGAGACGATGAAGGCT